CCAAAGTGTCCGTTGCTGTCAACTTTGATATTGTCAAATAATCCTACTTTGTCAGAGATTCCAAGTTCCTTTTTTGAAAGTATGGTCGGACTGAAGGTTCTTGATCTTTCTGGTACTGGTGTTAAAGCTTTACCTGATTCCATCTCTAACTTGGTGAATCTCTCTGCACTGCGGTTGAGGGAATGCAGGAGCTTAAAGGACTTGCCTTCCTTAGCAAAGCTCAGGGCGTTGAAGAAGTTGGATCTGTTTGGGGCAGGGATTGAGGTGGTCCCTCAAGGCATGGAGATGTTGGGAAGTCTTGAATATCTTTCTTTAAGTTGTCCAAATCTGAAAGAGATTCCAACGGAAATATTTCCTAACCTTTCCAGTCTCCAGTACTTAGTTGTATATGCAAGCAGCAAAATTACTAGAAGGATTATAGAAGAGGCTGCTAGCTTGAGCAATTTGAAGAGTTTGAAATGTGGAATGGAGGTCCAAGACTTCAACTATCTTGTTAATAAGTCTAAAGATTTTGACAATCTTACGCCTTATGAGTTTCGATTGACAAGAGGTGAAGGATATATCGGATGTGGTGGTGGATTTTGGGATGACTATCAACGTAAGGTTTTAATTGTTGAGTGTGAGATTGGAGAAGAATGTGTAGTGCTTCCAGATAAGCTTGAGGATTTGAAGATCCGTAACTGTAAAAACACGGAAAACATGAGATGCAGCTTAAACAAAACAGTTTTGTTAGAAAATGCAACCGAGTTGAGAAGATGTTCTATTGAAGATTTTGAAGGGATAGAGTGCATAGTAGAGTTGGACTCATCCTCTTCTTCCCCCTTACTGAATAAGCTCGAAGAATTGAGACTTGAAGAGTTGTCTGACTTGAGTGCACTTGTAAGAGTGGAAGGAGTAGTAGCACCACCGCAGATCTTTTCCAATCTTAAACGTCTTGAAATAAGATTTTGTTCAGCAATGAGGAACCTGGTTCCACTTGAGCTGCTGCAGGCCCTCCAACACTTAGTGTGCATTCAATTTAGGGGATGTGAACAAATGGAGGAGATAATAGCATCATCAGATTTAGATGCATCATCATCGAATAAATTCACTTTCACTTTTCCTAATTTAAGGACATTGATCTTGGTGCAATTAGGCCAATTGAAGAGCATTTGTAGTGACAAAGGTGTTATGGTTTGTGATTCTATTAAAGAAATTCAAATAATTCAGTGTCCGAAGTTAAAGAGGTTCCCTCTACAGCTTCCTCTGCTTGACAATGGCGAGCCATCTCCTCCTCCTTTTCTCGAAAAAATAGGGATAGATGAAGAGTCAAAAGAATGGTGGGAATCAGTGGTTGAGTTGAATCATCCTAACGCTAAGAACATACTCCAACCGTACTTGAAATTTACTCCAATTGATGAATGGGAGTAAGGGGTTGATTGATTTATTTTAATTTGAATTTAATTTGTTTTGTTGCTTTAAATTTTTATCGTCTCATCTGAAAGGGGGGTTGTTGACAAATCTTCAATTTTTCAGAGATTGGTAAACAAGTCACGTGCGAGTCCATAACACGTGCCAATAAAACCCCTCCTTCCCGTACTCCACAACGAGGACAATGCAAAAAGTGCTTCTGACATGGGAAAGCCTTTGTATTGTGGAAGAGATGAGATTGGGATTGAGATTGAGATGCATCCACCCTTCACCCTCTGCACTACTGTGCTATCTCATAAACTCCAACCATGTAAGTATCCATATTTTGACTT